AGGAGCAGGAGTGTGTACTAGGACTTCAGGAAATAATTCAGTAGTTCTGGAATCCCTAATCTCCTTCTCTCCTCCTGAATCCCCCCTACCCTTCTCTACCAGCGCCGGCCACAGGGCCAAAGCAGCAGCCGGTAGGGCCGCGCTCCCCCTGGCCATGGAACTGCACTAAGGACCAGAGGCTCTTCCAGTCCTGCGGGTCTTTTTGGGTTCTGTCTCGGTTAAAAACGGCAGTTAATGATAACACACGTAAAGAATATTCAAAATTGTGTCCAGAAGTGATTTTTATATGCAAACTGCCCCCTTAGAGTATGCAATCAAGCAAACAGTGCATTTTGTCTGTTAAATGCTTAACTCATGTATGGTGAATTTGTATCTATTCAGAGCATCTACAGCCGGGCTTGGCAAATCTGACCCCCTATATGTCTGCAGACGCGCCCACGCCCGCGGGCGCATCCGGACGGACCCTCATATTTCCCTTCCAGCATTCACATATCTCAAATCCGGACTCTCAAATCCATGCACGTCGATCATAAAAGACAATGTCGCATGTAAATAACAAATGTTTGTATGGAGCATATATAGCATTTACATAAAATTTATTTTAAGTGCACAACTCAAGCATTAGCTCCTTGGTTTCTATTGTGGGTCCACATGTGCTCCACAAGATCATTCAGTAGCTGCGTGTGCACCTGATGATCTCGAAGATTCTGATGCATCTGCAGAAAGTTCATAAGCTGAGCCACATCTTGATCTTCTGGGATTTCAACTTGTTCTCCAGGTGCTCCACAAGATCATTCAGTAGCTGCGTGTGCACCTGATGTCCTCTTGCATGCTCATGAGCATGATCATGTCCACTTCTTCGTCCGAATCCGAGGAATCGAAGAACTCATCTTGTATCATTTGATCAAGCTCCGTCGGTTCATACTCCTCGTCAGACGAAGCATCGGAATCCATCGTTTTCCTAATAAAATCACAAAAAATCCGGTCGGACAATGTGTCGAACACATCAAGTGCAAGGTGGAGCCAGAGAGTTGCCGGCCGTACCGCGGTGACGTCCTGGCCGGCGACGACGTCCCCCGCGGCGAGGACGGGAGAGAGGACTGCTCTGCCGGAGCTGGCGGCGCAGAGGCTAGGATTGGCTGCGGAGCGGGCGCGTGGCGGAGCTGCGAGACGGACGGTGCGGAGGAGGAAGAGAGGAGATATCAAATGGATCCGGCAGGTCTTGGGGGTGGATTTGGTGCAATTTGCGGTGGGGTCGGGCTGTCGGGTCCGACGTGGCGGGCGTGCCCATATCCGCCCCATATTTGGGCTGGATATGAGGGGTGCCGGTCAGCCCGGGCTTTTGTGGCCCGTTTGAGGGGGCTGTCTGGGTCGAAAAATCGTGACCGGTCAGTGACCGGGTGGCCCGCCCCGGCGTATGAGGCAGGTTTGGGGCGCCCAGCTGTAGATGCTTTCACATCAATGCTGGTTTCGTGATAGATTTTTTTGGGAGGAAAATATATTTGGTGGCACCCAAATATCACTTTGGTGGGGGAGTGGAGGTGCAATCCCACCACCTGGGTTCTAGTCTCCGTGGACTCAGTTTAAGGGGTCTCTGCAGTTTCCTTAAAGGAAAGCATTAGTTTAGTTCTTGGCACTAAACTTCTCCAGTACACTTTTTAGCATAAAACTCTAACCTCCCCATAACTAGCATTCTGTCCTGTGCATTCAGCGTGTTTACAATAATGTTTTCCTAGCCAAAACATGTACGACATACAGGTCCTTTATGTAGGACAACCAACTTGATCCACAAGTCGGATCTGAATACAAACTCAGCATGTACCAAAGATAATTAAGATTTAAGACCTTTCCTAATCTAGCAGGTTTCCTGTCCATGTACGTCACATGCACATATCATGCTGCATGACTGCATCTACTGCTAGTCGTATCCTTATTCCTTAAGGGATACTAGCTGTACAAAACTAATCATCTCTATTGTATGACTTCTGCCCTCAGGGCATGGCTTTGCTGTTGTTCTTTGCTCTATTTTGATATTGCCGTGAGAGATAGATGTTCCTGTTATTAGTCATTATAGTTCTCTATGCTACTGTGATGTTAACTGTGAAGTCTATTTCTTAGGGCATAGAGAAAAAACATGTAAAGCTGAAGGGCAATGAAAAGGCTGTTGTTGCACGGCATGAAGTTGGTCATGCAGTTGTGGGAACTGCTGTAGCAAATCTGTTGCCAGGCCAGCCACGTGTGGAGGTTTGAATTGAAACAATTATTGATAAGAACAGTCAGGATAATTATAAATTGGTCTTACTTTCTTTCACTGTTTATTTTCCCAGAAATTGAGTATACTGCCGAGGTCAGGAGGTGCATTAGGCTTTACATACACTCCTCCCACGACAGAAGATAGATATTTGCTCTTTGTTGATGAACTGCGTGGACGTCTGGTAACGCTTCTGGGTGGGCGGGCAGCAGAGGAAATAGTTCTAGCAGGACGGGTTTCTACTGGGGCACTTGATGACATCAGGCGTGCAACTGACATGGCTTACAAAGCCGTGGCAGAGTATGGTCTTAATCAGCGCATAGGCCCAATATCACTAGCTACATTGTCAAATGGTGGGCTAGATGATTCTGGAGGCTCTCCATTTGGAAGGGACCAGGTCTGTCTCAAAGTCCTTTCAATTGCAGATCGAACTATTAAGCTGCCTACTAAGCTCACATTGTAAAACTAATGACAGGGCCATCTGGTTGATCTTGTCCAAGGGGAAGTAAAAGCACTTCTACAGTCAGCACTTGAAGTTGCTCTTTCAGTTATTCGTGCTAATCCAGCAGTTTTGGAAGGACTTGGAGCATATTTAGAAGGTAATTTGACATATTATCTTACGTTTTTTACGGTGCACTTTTCTTCATGAGCTATGCATCACAAAGGCTGAAATTGAAATTATTTGATGTGTGGTATGTCTAACTGCTCATCTCTATGCTCCTTCAGAGAATGAAAAGGTTGAAGGCGAGGAACTACAAGAGTGGCTTAAGTCTGTCGTTGCCTCAGAAGAATTGACCTCTTTTATTACAGGAAAGCAAGAACATGTTCTTCAGCTGGAAGTAGGCCCCTAGCATCAGGAGTATAAATTGGAGTTTTAGACTTAATTAATTTAACCTAGCGCCAACCGCTAAAATTCTGTAAATCCAGAGGGATTCAATGAAAGTCCACATGCCCAAGTGATGCTGTATATATATATGGTCGCGGTTGCCCTTGACTCGAGGAAGTCCAGAAGTGATTATCGAGTTCTAACCTCCACAATATTGTAAGTCCATCTGTTTGCTCCTTTGCTCTACAATGTTGTTATAGGGATTAGGCGGGTGGTGCACATGTAAAAGAACATTCTTTTTTCTTCATACATTCTTTTCTTTCAGCCCTCCCAGTGAAAGGTTCATGTTACATGTCATCAAATATTAATAGAAATAATTCATATACGGTTTGCATACAATATTCCTTGCCTCGGTATACTCGAACTGTCCATCTGCATTACTTGATTCATCTACCTGCGTCGGCTGTTATTTTGCTGAGCAGAATTGTTCACTTCTCAGCATTTACGAGGTGCACTAATGCGAAATGATATTTCCCCCTGCGCTTTCTGAACTCCGAAATGCTTTGTTTCTTCTCATAGAAAGAAGTCCCTTGGTGATGGGCATCTGAGGTTTTTTGATAGGAGATTCTCCGGTTTCTGTCTAGCCAGTCCATGTTGAATCGGTCATGGAACTGGAAGATATATGTACTAGAAAAACAAATTGCGATTGGTGTGTGGAACGACTATAGTTAGTTTGTAACTGAAGTGTTCTTAAAAAACACTGATAACATGTCAAAACACTTATTTTTTAATTAGATGTAGATTCCAAAAGGCAAGGGTAGTGAAAACAGATTAGCAAACGACCAACATGGCATGCATCATTTGTACTGCTGGGCGCTGGCATCTGCTGCTATTCTCACACTTACCTTTCGTTTGGCGTCTTCTAGATAGTTCTTGACTTTTGATCGGCCCCAGCTAAAAAAAAGGTTATGGCTGAGCAAAGAATAAGGGGTACGGATTCAAATTTAGGACTCAGGGAGGGAGCTAGATTGCTGGCTTCTCGGAGGCTGAACTCCACGTGCACAATCTAGTGCAAAGAGCAATCCAATCCAATGGTCAGAAGGCAGAAGTGTAAGGATTTGCCAACTTTCCACCATTGGACTGAGTGCATAGTGCATCCAGCGGCTCACGTTTTGAGTTAGTCCCACACTATATAGGATTATAGTAGATTTGTAACTGAAGTGCTCTTAGATAACATGTCAAAATACTCGCATTTTCCCCCACTTAGATGTAGCCTCCAAAAGGTCACGCGTAGCGAGAACAGATTAGCAAACGACCAACATATCATGCATCATTTGTACCGCTGGCATCTGCTGCTATTCTCACACTTACCTTTCGTTTGCCGTCTTCTAGATAGTTCTCAGACTTTTGAGAGGCCCCAGTTATATAGGATTATAGATTTTCTTTTTGTCTGAAACTCGGCGATTATAGATACTCCCTCCGTCTAGGTGTGTAAGTCATCTTATGAAAATCAAATATTCTCAAAACACTTAGGCGCGGTGCATTAAATTCTACCTTGTTTCTTGTTTCTTGACATATCAACCAATAAAAGATGTGGGGTGTGCATGGTTTTAATGACTTGAGACTACCAAACACGACATGCAGTGGTTAGTTCATTGCATGCAATGCTATTAATTAGCAAATGAACATTAAGTACTCTCGTTTTCCCTTTCTCTTTGGTCACGGTGCACAACCTAAGATGACTTGTTCACCTAGACGGAGGGAGTATATGAATTCCACCAATAATTACGTCAGTACACATAGGGGAGATGGAACCACAACGATTGCAGCGGTAGAGATGTTGACATCAACTGGTTGGACGTGCAGATACTTCCAAGAGGCCGCAGGCCGGTATCCGCGACGGTATCCGTCCTTTCTCCTCATCTACTCTGTTTTGGTTTTGGCGAAGTTCTGAAGCGCGAAGGCCATGGCCACCAGCAGGAGGGGCAGGGCGAGCTGCAGCACCGTTAGCCAGACGCCCTGGCCCGTGCTCGCGCGTGGCGCCGGAGCCGCCGCTGCCCCCTTGGCGGGGAGGACGGCGTGTGCGAGCTTGGCCGGGATGGTGGCGGCGTCGACCTCCCCGATGCAGTACTGCGGCATCAGCTCCTTGGCGGCGTCCGAGTGGCCGATGTCCTCGAAGTCGGCCGTCGCGTCCTTGCCTGCACGCCCGCCCAGGACATGCCAAATCACTCCCGGCCACAACAAGGAGAACGATCTGCGAAAGCACGCGAGAGAAGGGGAGGGGAGGGCTCACCGGTGCACGCCAGCAGGACCTCGTCGCCGCCCGGGTGCTCCTCCATGAAGGGCGTCACGTCGTACACCTGGCAGCGAGCAGAGGTAAAGCATGGCCGGCCAGATGACCCAAATCATGTGCGTCGACACAAAATTCATCTGAAGTCTACAGTGGAGTGGTGATGGGTAGATGCAAGAAGGGTTTATGACAAACTGACCTTGCCGGAGATGATGAGCCAGCAATCCTTGCGCTGGCTGTGCTTCCGCACCTCTTGGAACGAGTACACCTTCCCTCCCCCCGCCATCGCAAGCAGCCTGTGCTTCCTTGCCTCGGAAGCCGAGCCTCCAGGAACGAACAGAACCAGATCGAAGGAACCGGATGGAGTACTTTGGTCTGGGAACTTGTGAATGACGAGCAGTTCAGGCACCTGCTGCAGTGTATTTATACGCGAGCCGTGCGTGTTGGACTGCACGGGCGGTGTCTGCTTGAGCTGCCCACCGTTTCGGGCCGGCTGCTGGCTGATATAGACAAAACGAGCGGGCGATGATGGACTGGACGCCGGGTCAAAATAAAATATAGATGGGCTGGACCTGGACGGACGCAGTGCGGTCTCGTCACGTGTGGATGACCTGCCGTTTGGTGTTTGACCCTGGCAGCACGGCAAGTCTCTAGCGGAGACAATTCGGCTCCGGTGCACAAGACTGGCGATCGAAATCAACCAAAGTCATCAGCGCTGTGATGGGAAAATCTCTCAGTAATTTCATGGCTCGTCACCGTTAACTCTACCGCGCGCACACGGTCACACTTTTTCATTATCTTAATTCCCATGGTTTACGCGGCAAGAGCAGATCAGATCAACCCCGCTTCAAAAGGGAAGGGGAAGACCGACCGATCGATCTCGGTCTGCTTTGATGTATATGGTCAGGGGTGTTTTCACGGGCGATCCAACAAAGTAGTACTATGATGGTGCGGGCACCCGTCAAAAAAG